GTTATTGTTTGCACAAGCAGATCTGTTTGTGAAGGGTTTTGTGTAAGTGTAATGAGCTTTTTCTTATATTTACGCAACATTTTATTTCTGAGCTCTTCTATTTTCCTGCTCACACAAAAGCTTGCTTCCTATATTTGTTTAAATTTATAGTGAAAATAACTTTAGTCACTGTGAAGTTCACTCTGTCCTAAACAACAGCCTTGTTGTTGCAAAGTTCGACAAATGGAGTCTGCATAAAAGAATAAACTGCAAAAAAGTTATCTGTGGATCTCTCAAGTTGCATCAAGGCCATTCAACCAAAATAGCAGCTTCTGCCTGCCTAAATGAACCAAGAGGATGTTATGGCGCAGACTAACTTTAGAAACAGGAAGTCACTGTTTTCGTGAGTGTGTGTCTGTGCAGGGATGTGCAAGTACACCAGAAAAGTCTGTGCATGCGTGTTTATTGCGTGTGTGTTCGTTTCAGTGTGTGTCTGTAATGAGCCCACAGAAAGAGGATGATGGTGTGAATCAACTATGCTATTACAGAAACCAGAAGTTTGCCTTCTGCTATTTTTAGCTACACGACGCTCAAAAGAGACGGAGGAGAAGCCAGCTCGCAGATCTGATCAACTTTTACTACTTATTCTTAAAAGGTGCCAGATTTGATCCCCTCATTAGATTGGTCTTGCAGCTTTAGAGTTCACGTAAAATATTTTTAAAAGCATGAAATGATCTTGGCTAAAACTACCAAAAGCATTGTTTTATTAATGCTGTTTTGAAGTGGGTCGTGCACTTCAGTCTCCTCTTCTGTAATATGATAGAAAGAAATTATGAGCTTCTGAAACCCCCCAGGGTGAATGCAGATGAAATCGTATCTGTTTAGGCGAATCCACTATGCTGTGATCCAGCTGCTTTTCTGTCAACTCACGTAATGAGTCACACTCTGCCCTAAATAATGCCTCTGGTGTTGGTGCAAAAACTCCAAACACGCTTGTGCGGAAAGATTTTTAAATTTAACTCTCACAGGAATATTTTGGGCCTTGGATGTTGTTTAGTTGCTTTCCTTTTGTTTAAGGATTTATCTTGCATTTGTCGGGACAAACTCTTCCGTGGCTGGAGTTAGTTTGACGATGGATGAATCACCACTCCTATGCACATGCTGACCAACAATTAACTATTTCATTGAGCCCATTTATATAGTTTTTATGGCTCCTAGTCAGTGTATGAGAGGCATTTACATATTAGCTTCATTTAAACTGAGTGGATGTCTGAAATAGAATAAAACCGTGAACGGGTTTGGTTCCTGCTGCTTTCTGGAGGAACATAAACACCAGGTGTTCCTTCTCTGACTTCCTGATTACTTCCTTTCTTTCAGGGTAGATGGTGTGTGTGTGTGTGTGTGTGTGTGTGTGTGTGTGTGTGTGTGTGTGTGTGTGTGTGTGTGTGTGTGTGTGTGTGTGTGTGTGTGTGTGTGTGTGTGTTTACATTATCTGAGTCCTCACCACAACCATCAAGAACTGCGTCCCCACTCTTCTCATCGTGATTGTCTGATTTCCTTTAAAGACACGCAGACCTCATTCTGGTATTTGCTGCTGTACCTGGTTCTTCCTGTTGTACCTTTTTATTGCTGTAAAATGGAAGAAAGGAAAAACACCTAAAAATTAAAATGAACTATCAACTACAGCGGCTTTGCATACTCTCAAACGTGAGCCAAACTGTCTTAGTGGTTTGTCTTTTCCAACAAAGTAATGTAGGATTCTGTTGGTGCAGAGATTTTATTTTTCATGTTTATAGTTCTTCCACTCTCATAACATGTGCCAGAAAGCCTGCACTATTTTTGTAGGCTTTTTTCAGTGCCACAAAGTCAGAAACGAGAAAGACATCATGAAAACGCAAAGCTGGCCTTTTCTCAGCAAATACCACTTTTTACTATTCTGGAGCTGCAGGATTAAAACCTCATCCAGATTAAATTCCATGTTATTTTCTGGATTTTTAGATGATTCTGTTTGTATGCTACATATATGACTGTGTTTTCTTCAGAGGAAGTTCATCTAAATGCAATTGCACACTTTGTTTTTCTTGTCTGACTCAGACTTTCAGGTTTTGTTTTGTGCTTGTTATCATTTAAAAGTACTTCCTTGTAATTTGTGTCACAGCCTGCAATAAGGTTTTATTTTAAAAACACCATCAGATAAATAAATGAGAAACTTTAGTTGTGTTTTATTAATGACGTGTTCCTGATTCCTAAAATGTTGGACAAATAATTTTGAACACGTATTTCAGTGTTGTGGTCATGATAGAGGCTGTTTTCTCTACGGCACTGAAACACAAACGTTTATGTAATTCAACCGCTAACAAAAGGCAGGAATTGAAGAAATGTGTGGATTTTGGTTGCAGTCGGTGAATTTCCACTGGCTTTGTTCTTCCTCGCCCAGAGGGAGTAAGGTGTCTTCTTCCAGACGTTATCCATCTGCACTCCTACAACACCACTGAACATTCCTCTGCATCATTTTTGGTTTCAGGCACAAGTTGCACTGACACACAAACGGCTGACGCTACCTTTGTGCTCTTGCACGCCTCACATATAGGTTTTCAAAAGCTGACATGAAGTTTGTTTTTTTTAGGTTAAATTGTTAAAATGAGCCAGACAATGAAGTTAAAGCACGCCAAGCATGATGCTTTTTCACGTCTCAGTTGAATAGATTTACATATTTTCTCTCTCTCCTGCTAAACACCATCTTTCGTTAGAACTTAGGTCTTTTGTTTGTTTGTTTTCAACAAAACAAATGTAAAAAAAAGGGCAAAATGATCAGGATAAGTAACTATTTACCTAAGCCTCCACATTGTCATTTGCTTTTAGACCCAATCCAGCTTACTTGTGGCAGGAAGGCTTGAATATGATGATATATGTCAGCATAAAGTCCTGCTAATAAACCAATGACATCGTTTTTGTTTATTTAAATCACAAACTGTTGATGGCTTTCCAGTTGCTCTTGTTTGTTTTGTCTGAGCCTGATTCATGCCTCTGCGTCAGTGCCGAGACACGCAACGCCATTATCCGTCCTTGCGGGCCTGCTGGAGAGCCCCGCAAGGACGTACGGAGTCGAGCTCTTTTCTAAACATCCGTCCGTCGAGACAGAGAACGCAAGCTTGTGATTGGTCGGGGCACCGCTGTCGTCTTCACCGCCGCCATTGCGCCCTCAAAAACATAAAGACAGCCGAGAATAACTAGCGGCAGACACGGAGAAGCTTGAAGAATACCTCGCGAAAAAAACTCTAAAAACATGAACGTTTAATTCCCCCGTGACTGGAGGAGTGAAAAGATGCGCAGCAGGCATTTTATTTATGGACGGAAATGACAGGAAACGTGGGTTTAGAGGTGGCGAGCGCATAAAGAGGTGGAGGAGAATGAGAGACAATTCTGTCTGTGTTAAAAAGTCTCATATGTACAAAAAAAACACAATATAAACACAATATCTTGGACCGGATACATGACAGGATACTGGGCTCGACACATGGGAGGCGACATCGACTCTCCTCCATTTTCAATGAGACATGCGCGACAAAGCGATAATCGCGGGTCTCCCTCTTACTAAGCGAAACGCGAAAAACGTGCGTGTGAAATTTTGCGCTTGTGCACGTGTCGTGCACAGGCGACCCAGCGACGCGATCCCAGAAAGTTGAAATATTTTTAAACTTTTCATCGCTGTCGCTTGGACGAGGACCAATCAACGGAGGTTTCATTCACTGACCAATGAGCGGACAGGATGCTCCGTACATCTCCGAGCAAACATGGAAAAGTTGATTATTATTATGTTTATATAGTAAAATCAGAAGTAAGATTTCACATAACTTTAGCAGCACCTTGCGAAACATCATATCTACCGCTTTATTAACTCTGAACCGCTTAAATATCCTTAATTCCCTCCAACCAGAGCCGGGTCCAGGACTTTTAAAATGGGGTGGCCCATGTGGGGCACTTGTTTATGCATGGGTGGCACCAATGGTTATGCTTATTTCTTTATTTACACAAATCGTTTATTTATTTATTTACTTTCTAGTGAATTTTGGAGTTTCACATTGCACAATCACCATTTTTTTCTATTCATCTTCTAGTTTTGTGGTGGTAAGCAAGTCACTTCTTGTTGCATTATTGCCACCAATTGGAGTTGAGTGGGACTCTAAATACTATTTATGTGAATATGAAAAAATAATAAATAATATTAACACTACAGAAATGTTCTGTAGGCCTTGGCTAGAAGACAATGTTAAAGGTGCATGCTACCACACACTATTTTTGGAGTTTACAACTCAAGCCTTTTGTCGACGATGTAAAGTCAGTTTAAACTGGAACGTAGTAGGGTGGCACCTGGGGTGGCCAATCAGATTCTAAGGGTGGCATGTGCTACCCCAGGCCACTCCCTGGACACGCCCCTGCCTCCAACCTGGCACAGCCAAACAAAACAACGGAAGTTTCAATTTCGCCATGGAACAGAACACGTAGACGGCTTTGCCGCTGGCCGCTGCCGCGGGTCGCCTCCCGTGTGTCGGGTAATAAAAGCGACAGCGACAAATGTCGCTGATTGCGGTCGTTTGTCCCCTCCCGTGTGTCGAGCCCATACCACAGAACAGCGCTACACCCTCTGTTGTCCTGGTGGGCAATTGCTTTGCAACACTCCCCAGGAGACGGAGAAGCATGAATCAGTCTCTTAAAAGAGAGCTCGACTCCGTCCGTCCTTGCGGAGCTCTCCAGCAGGCCCGCAAGTACGGATAATGGCGTTGCGTGTCTCCGCACTGACGCAGAAGCATGAATCAGGCTTTACGGAGAAGTATTTTTCCTAGGAACGTTCAGTTTTAACAAAATGAATCTAATGTTGCACAATATTTATGCTCAATCAATAATAATAAAGTCAGCACATAATACATTGAAAACATGTATTGCTTAAAGATATTTGCAGTAAAACAAACTGACTCTTCCAGATCATTCCAATTTGCCTCTTTTTTTGTTTCCTGCTGTAGTGGATGTAATCGACAGCTGTCAGATTTTAATACCCACACCTCGGAGCGAGCCCATGGACCTAAGTGTGACACACAGGTTGTTGCATCAAGGCCCAGAGTCGGCCATGTTGGCCCCTCAGCCTTACTTCTTTGGACGTCTCACCAATGAGCATTCCTTTCATTCCCAGCAGCACTTGCAGGTGAGTCCACATGAAGACATGTTGTGATAAAAAAATAATGTCATGGAGTTTGATTCATTCACGCCAGCCATTATCTGAACAGAAAGCCCTGGACTGCCCACGTTTCTGAGCATTTTACTGTTTTCTGAAGAGTCACAGAATTTTGTGCTCTGTGACCACGTGAACAAGTAATCAGTGTGTTTCTAGCCTTTTCCGTTCTTTCACAATCCGCTGCAGAAGCGTGAGCTGCTGAAGCTTTTCCAGTTAGCACCTCACTTTTTTCATAGCGGCGTCCCAAAATGATCTCCTAATTCATGGATTATCTACTTCCTGATTACGTGACATGTGACACACATGAGTGAAGATCCACTTTAGAGCCGTGATGTGTGCAAGCTTGTTCCCAAGCCCGCCCGGTTAAAAAACACAGGGACGACTTTAGTCGTCAAATGGCAGCAAATCTACTAATAAACAGTGTTTTTTACTTGTTCGGTGATGAAAAATTTGTTATTTTTAAACATCAGCAACAAAACAAAAGCAAACGGCATCCTGATTTATGGCTGTTAGTACATGAATAAAACCTGCAGTAAACCTGTGTTATTGTGTATTTTTTACTTCATAGTATAACACGGACCAGAGGCAACGAGAGATGGAGAAGAGGGAAGAGCTTCAACAGCTGATACTGAAAAGTAAAAATGAGCAGAGTGAGTTGTATGTTTAGCATCTCCTAGCGCTGTTTTGTGTTTTCATGTCAGCTGAAACAAAATGAGATTATTGACAGACTCCGTATCTGAATTATCTCACACTGAACTGGATGTTTCGACGCTCATAAGGGGATTTCCGTCGATGCTGTGCTTAATACCAAGGATATCTGCCGTCAGAATGGCTGGGGTCACTCAAAGGAAGTGACTTATTTTCCAGCCTATTTCCTTGTTTACCTAAAAATACATTTCTGCTTTAGAAATAATGTTTTTACGTCATCCAGCATGTATGTTTTCCATCCTGGCAGGTGCTATAGCCAGTCCACATGTGAGGCAGAAACTTCGGGAACATATAATCATGAAGAACCAGCCTCCCACCCCCAGTAGTACCCCCCCTGGATACAGGTGAGAGTGACTGATTATCCATATAATCCTAAACCCCCCAACTGAAATGGGCAGCCATCTCTGCACCTACTCACAACTGAAGCAGTGTATGTGATATTGTTTTGGTTACCAAGGCTACCGGGTCCTGACATTTCCTCAAAGCCTCAACCTACACCCTGTGACCAGCGCAAAGACCTCGCCTTGCGGAGAACAGGTGAGACTCCTCTTTGTCCGTGCGTTTGGAGTTCCCACCCTCAGTAAGAATCTTTAGGCACACGGGTGATTTTCCCCTTCAGATGCATTCTCACGTCTGACACACATCTGGGTCAAAATTTTCCCAATGAGGGACTAGTAAGGAATTTTCTATTCTTCTATTCTATTTTCTGTTGTGTCATTTAAGCTACAAGTTCTTCAGTGCATCAGTCAGCAAAATAATGTGTTCAGTGTGGTACTTTTAGGCAACTCCAAACAGGTTTTTGTAGATTTTCTGGACAAAAGATTGAGTCTACATTAAAATAAGAGAACCCCATTGAGCATCAGGCCTGTATGGCCAGAGAGAGGCTGAGAGAGGGCACTTGCTTACATGAAGACACAACGACCAAAGCAGTTATGTAACTTTAACTGAGGTATGTGTAAAATGAACTGCGTGAGAGTCCCAAGCACTGTATGAATTGGAGAGGGAGTGGTTCTTCCACTTTGTACATTTCTACAAGCACACCAGCTATTATTTATTTGTGTTGCCCCAAAACTATTTTAGCACACACACACTCACACCCTAGAGTGCTTTGGTTGGCACAGCGACAACACAAACACAGCTTTTGTCCGCTTTGGGCCGGCTGCTGATTGATTTCTCTGTTTGGATTCTTTGGAAATTGACCAACATAAACATGAATGGATTTAAGCTTTCCCCAGGACAGAAGTATTTACATGGTTCACTTAAGACTTGATTTTGTTGTGGAAACGGCATGCACACACTTTTGTTCATGTGCATTTGTATTTGCGTAGTCTCCGAGCCCACACTGAAGTGGAGGATAAGGAAAATCATTGCCGCAAGGCCAAACCCACTGCAGCGAAAGTCCAGCGCGCCTCCTGATGTCAAGCACCGGACAGAGACGCTAGGTGTGAAGGCTTATTTTAATTTGATTGGACTTATTTGTTTATTTTCTGTTTTAATGTTCATTTAAAAATATCTGGTGCTCTTTTATTTAGACTCTTCCCCAAGCAGCAGCACTTCAGCGTCAGCGTGCAGCTCCCCAAATGACAGCCTCATTTCAGACAGCAGCTCCCTCACGCTGACCTCTGAGGTGAACCTCACGATTATATTTGACTCATCATGACTTTTTTTTCATAAAACACTGTTTAAGGCTCACGGGTCTTCCCAACATGTGGTTGCATTGATGGAAAAAGTTTGGGAACATGCAACTGAAAATGCACATTTGTTAGGCTCTTCCTCAGCCGTTTTCACAGTGGACCTTATAATAATCCTTTCATTTTTGTTTGCCTGAATAACCGCATTACCTAAGCATTATGCTTCTCCAGTCCAAGGGCTTGCTGTTGAAGAATGGTAATTTATCACACTTCATCCGGCACAACCCCACTGCCATGCACAACATTACTGCTGGACTTCCTGCTCAGGTGAGCTACAATACACCTACCCTACAGGTTCTTTTAAAGCATTAGGAGCTTTATAGCACAGCTAAACAACAGAGGTTTTCCTGAACTATACATTCATTTAACAACATATAAGGATATTTAGTGAGTTGGTGTGTATCTGAGAATGTCACTATTTGCTGCACGTACAGAGACGTGATATTTACAGGCTTTCACTTCCCTCTTGATCTTTTTTTGGTGGTAGGATACACACATGCGTCAGTCTTCTTATCACACCGTTCCACCTTTAACTCCAGCATTGACTAAGGGGGCAGCTCTCATTACTGGTCATCTCATCATAATCTCTTGTGTTGTTTTCTTCCTTTGCACCAGGCTGACTTTCGAGGAGCAAAGCCGATGACTGTATCGGCTCTGCCACCCGTCTACCTACCTCTGGAGGGAAGTGCTCCATCTTTGTCTCAACGCCTGCAGCCAGTGATCCTAATGGAACCGCATGCAGTGCTGCTGCCCAACAAGTTTGTCCCTGGTGAGTTGGGTTAATGGTGAAACACTGCAGCACAGAGCATCACAAGAGCCAGAGTCATTTACCTGTCATCGTATCTTTCAGTGGTCAGAATATGTGAGAGCTAATTAAGTAGCAACATTTAATTCATTCTAAAGAGAAACAAAATCAGTGTGAGCATTTTATGTTGTAGTTTCCTGTGGTCCATGCCAGTTCAGTTTCTTTGCTTTATACAGCAAATGTTCAACTGGTTTAAAATTTCTCAAGCAAAGAGGACAGGGGTCCCCATCTGGTTGCCCACAAGCACCAGGATGACCTCAGGAACGCTATGAGGTGCCTGCAGGCCCCTTCTAGAAATGGCACAAATCACCACTGAAATGACATTTTCTCTGCTTCTAGTTTTTATCGCACCTGCGCTGATTTACATAACACAGTATTGTTAAAAAGGCTTTGAAATATGTTAATTTTGTTAAGTTTTAGTTATAAGCTCGTTACACACAAAGTAGCTCTCACAAAGGTGGGTGACCCCTGAAAAGAAACACCAGACAGTTAACACGTGTAGGAGTAAAGCTTTTGTCTCATCAATTAAGGTGGCGCAGTTGGTGGTGCTGTTGCGAGAAGGTTGCTGGTTCAAATCTCAGCTTCTGCCTTTCTACAAATTGTTAGCATGTTCTTTGCATGCATGCTGGGTTTTCTCCCACGCAACACAAACATGGATGTCAGGTTACTGGAGACTAAATTGTCCCCGGATGTGAGTGTGGGACTGGCAACCTGTCCAGGATATTACCACCCCTCTCTCTCTCTCTTTCACACACACACACACACACGCACGCACGCACGCACGCACGCACGCACGCACACACACACACACACACACACACACACACACACACACACACACACTCCACCCCCCATGACCACCAGAGTTGGGTACCACCTCTTTGTGACCCTAGTGTGTTGTTACAAGAGAGTTTTATGTTAACTATGTTAATGTTAAGAATGAAATCTTAAGCCGAGTGAGAGGACGTGGTCACGTGGGATGTAATGAATGAGGTGATGCACATGCAGGTGAAGATTTGTTATCCTATTTAATCCAACATCTGCAAACACCTTGTGCCTTTTGGTTGCCTCGTGGCTAATTGTTAAGGATCTTTGTAATTGTAATTCAGTAGAAATTATTTTACTGCTTGTAAAATAATATTTTCTATCTAGTTTAAAGAACTGATTCGTGTGTTAAACCCCTTTAGATAAATAAGCAAACAGATAAATACACACTTGGTTAAATGTAAAACATAGTTTTATGAACCAGAAGTTAGAGATGCTCATTAGTAGTTTCAGTGTTAAAACAAGGTGATTGATTTCATGTCTAGCTCATTTCTAAGCTAGTTGATTCTAATTTGTTTGTTTCAGTTTCACCTTCCTTTTCAGTGTCGGTAAACCTGAGTCGTCTGTGTTAAGTCCTATAGACAGCACGCCCAGTGAAGGTGATGCAGTTAGTTTATGAATAAATGAATCAGACATGAAAATGAAAGTATTCATGTAGTGTTGGCATTATTTAAAGAGCTTTTATCGTTCATACAGTTAAAATAGCTGCCAAACCTACTGTAACAAACGGACATACACACTCAAGAGTCTGCACACTTTTTCACTAAACCACATTTTAGTTTTTCATGTTGTGTTTTTGTGTTTTAGGTGACACACGTAGTTTCTTATTGAATGTGGAGCTTTGCAACAGATAAAAAGTGTTCAATAATGACTTTTGGGTGTGTTTGGGGAAGCATAGTTCTAAAAATACCTTTTAAGGGATTCTTAGACATTGTGTGTATTATTTTAGAGTTACATGTGTGGAGTCATGGCATTTGTCTAAATAATTCTGATGTGAAACTTTTAAAAGTTTGCTCGTCTTTCTTTTACTGCAATAACATTTGAAGCATTTTAATTGGTTTTAACCAAAACTATTAAGTATTATATTTAACATATGAATGGCCAAGCTTTTGAAATATTTAGTCACACATGTACATGTAAGAAATAAATGATAAAAACAAAAAAGTCACTTCTTGGCAGTCATTTATGGCAGAAGATAAAACTCTATCATCTACTCAGGTTGGATCTGACAGCTGGAGGACATTCAGAAAGTTTGAACTGCCTAACTTTCTGAATGAAACTCTGATGGGGGCGTATAAAGTGTCGAAGTGTTTTGGTTTTCACACCATTAAAATATTTATACTCGTCTGAGTGCTCCACCTCACCTGCTTCTCAAGTGTGTTTATAGTTGAGACTAGAAAGATCACATAAACACAAAGATAAACATAAACTTTTGAACCAAACTTAATAATAAACATTAATTTAAATATTGTCTCCAAGTGAGAAGGGCAGATCTCAGTTGATCAAGTCTCAGAAGGTTATCAGAAACAGTTTTAAATGTGTTTGGGGGGTTTCCAAATATTATTAGAGACACAAGAGCGCCCCCTGCTGAAGGGAGAGCAGTGATGCGCATGTAAGCTTCCATAAATGGGGTTTCTCTCTTCCCCTGTTTACCCAACAGTGTCATTATCATCCCATTTCCTCGCTTTTATTTATTCTCTCCCTTATGCGACTTGTCTTTTCTCCCCGTCTACTTCCAGTTCACGGTCTAAGTTCCATTCATCAGCAGCATCCTCACCTGTCCTCCCCCTCCAGAAGAGAGAGCTCAGCCTCCTTACCCTCTCACCAACCTGTAGAGCGAACCCATTCTGCACCGCTACCCTACAACCATTCGGTGCTCCGCCTGCACGCAAGTCACCCCCTCCACACCCAGCACCATTTGCACCACCTGTACCTTAAGAGTGGACTGGACAGGTCCAAGCTGAATTCACACCTGAGCAAGGTGAGATGGGGTGGCAAGAAACCCACACACATTGCTATTGAACAGTGTTTGAAAAGTTACTTTAAAAAAGTAATTGGTTATAGTTACTAATTACTTTGTCAAAAAAGTAACTCTGTTACCAACTGAGTTACGAGATTATAAAAGTAACTAATTACCAAGAACAATAACTACTTAGTTACTTTTTTCATTAAAGAATACAAGAAAAATGGGTTAATTGAACTTACTTTAATTTACTATAAATTACTACAATAATGAAATATAAATGACTAATGACTGGAACATAATAAAATGTATGTCTAAATGTTTTTTATAAACCTGCATAATTTAAATAAATAAGCACTTAACAGGAGGAACTACTAACAAGAACATTACACTTTTCTAGACTATTAAAAGGTCACTGTGTGATATTTAACAAGACCCCAATCAGCTAAAATTTAAAACTGCAAATAGAAACACCTGTAAAGGTTCCTGAGCCTTTAAATGGTCTCTCAGTCTAGTTAAATTACAGAAATAAATGTAAATTTGCACAGTATTTTAATTTTTCCAACTTCACAAAATTGTGTGTTTTTACTAGCATTTCTGTTGCTGGTAATCTAGTAATGGTTAAATAAATAAATAAAATCCTTTAAAATGACACTAGAAGAGGCACAAGCCTGATGGAGGACTTACATTTACTAACTTGGGTCAGACCCAACCACAGAAGAACTGAAACTGGGTGGAAAACACACACAGGTAGTTCTAATAACACCTGAGCTCCATGACGTCTGAGACCGATGCATCAGTGTTACAGCGGGACTAAAGACATGATCAGAAACAGGTTACAGCTGGATAATCTAGGAAGGTAGAAGATCAGGACGTCTGAGCGGTGAACAGGTGAGCGGACCTTCGGGACGTCCCGCTGTCATGCTATGAAGGGCACGGCTGCAGATCCACACCTGCAGCCGTAGACTATTCATCACGTCTTCCTCGTTCTTCACGGCCGTGATGCTCTTGGATGAAAACATCTGCCTCTTTAGCTCCTGATCAGCTGACGACAGCTTCAACTCACCGCGCTGCTTAACGCACGCATGTCCTTATCAGTAACAGAAACAACGTTTTGATAAAAGAAGACTGAATTAATTAGTTTGCTCGTTACTGAAAGAAATTTTTTTTAGTAACGCGGTTATTTTATACAGCGTTATTCCCATCACTGCTCTGTTGTGTCTACAGCAGGCAGTGACTGAGACCGTGAGGGTCTCCGCCCACCCGGCCAATCATCATCGTGTTTGTAAGTGTGTTACCGACACCTCTCTCTCCCTGGCTGCAGCTGAAGTGTGGCGGTCAGAAAGCCTCACACTGCTGCTCAACGTTCGACAAGCACATAGTAACGCACAACCTTCCATCCCCAGTAACGGTAACGGCGTTGCAACAGTGGGAAAAGTAATTAATTAGATTATTCCGTTACCCAAAAAAAGAACGCCGTTATTAACGCCATTATTTTAAACGGCGTTATTCCCATCACTGCTAATGAATAACATTAAAAAACTAGTCGATTTTGATTGTTTTATATGAGTGACTGTTTTGTTTAATTTGATTGGAGACACAATTCCAAAATTATTTATGTTAAAATGATTTGGTTTTATAGTTTGCAAAGAGTACATTTAAAAATAGCACATCCTTTGATAAGGCCCGTCTGACACAGATCCCATCAGAGGACATGGACCTGGAGGAGACCGGTTCAGCATCAGGAACGGGATCTTTGTGTGGCTCAGAACTTGGCTCCCTGTGTGAGGACGGCCACAACAGGAGACAGAGCAATGCCAGCACAGACTCGTTCTACGGCACAGAGTCCAACGCCTCGTCCCGGGAGAGCTTGCTCGACACGTCACATCTCCTCAGTCAGGTACTAATACCGAGTCTAGTTAACACACCTAAAACCAGAAGTTCCCAGGTCTAACCTGTCCTTTGGATCTGAAAACTAATTATTTCAGAGGTCTGTTTGAGCCAAGCAGCAAAGAATAAAAGATTATAACGGCACCACATTGACTGAAGGAATTCAAAGTCACGTCAGAAACTGGCCAAGAAAAGCACAATTTGCATAAGTTGTGTGAAGCTTGATTGAACTATATTTTACCATCAGGGGGCACTGTTGCACTGCTGTAATGCAGTTTGCAGCATGTTTGGTAACTAGATAAAAAAAAAACATGTTCAGATCAGGAGTCTTTCTACGTTTATTATCAATTACTCACATGAAGCTCTTCTTCTCAAACAGAGGCAGGCCATCCTTAGACCAGGTCTCCAGACAGACACACTGGGTGTCCCTTCCTTATATTGGCCCCACCAGTCTCACCAGCGGGTGATTCGGACCCGGTCCTTACCAACATCCATCTCCCTGCCTCCTACGTCCTATGTTCCCACCATACCGTCTCTGTCGCTGTCCAGCAGCACCGCTGCAGACAAACTGTGTTTCACAACAGGTGAGTCAGGTGTGTTTATGAGAACCATAAAATAATCTCACAGATTCTGACTAGTGTGTGTGTGTGTGTGTGTGTCCAGGTTTGGCTTATGATTCTCAGATGCTGAAGCACCAGTGTGTCTGTGAAGACAACAGCCGCCACCCCGAGCATGCTGGGAGGATTCAGAGCATCTGGTCCAGACTGCAGGAAAGAGAGCTTACGAGCCAGTGTGAGGTGTGGTGCACACGTAATGAATGGTACAGAGTGAGAGCTGTCAATCCTGTTCTGTTTACACTACAGATTGTTTATGTTTGTTATAGTTGATCAGCAGCAGAAAGGCCACCCATGAAGAGCTGCTGTCGGTCCATTCAGAGAACCACGTGTCAATGTTTGGAAACAAGCTGGATAACCGCAGGCTTGCTGGTAAAGCAAAAAACGGTGCTGAAAACTATCATAGTTGTTTTGTTATCAAACTATTTTAATTTCACGTGTTATATCATATTTCTGACTGTGAAATATCATCAACTTGCTCATGCAGGACGTCGCCTCTTTGTGGAGTTACCATGTGGAGGTGTTGGGGTGAGTGCTATGCACGTACACACACACACACACACACACACACACACACACACACACACACACACACACACACACACACACACACAAGTCACATGCATTTTCAAACTCAAGTCATGTGGGAATCTTTCCACTTATTTAAATGCATTACTGAACAGCAAACATTACATGGCTGATTATGTCTCATTACACAATTTAGGTAATGATGCTACCAATTACTCGTGCTATTGTTTTTGGCCAAGATCACTAAAATAATTCAGTGTTCAAACAAAGGTGAGATTTAGAAGAGAAGAATCAGGATTTACGGTTTAGCTGGTGAGAGGAAATGCAGTAAGAATGTAGACCAACTCCTATTCAGAGGAGAGGAGGGAGTCTATAGGGGGCTGGGTGCTGGTTGATAAGAGGACTGATGTGCCTGGATTTCCGGCCTTTGGACGCTCTAGTGAAGAGGGGTGATTGGAACAAGATGGCAAAGTCTGCAGAAAAAAATCCTCAGATTTCATTGTTCCAACAAACATGAGACAAGACGGGTTTCTCAGAGACATTATGTAAAAATTAAAAATCAGCAATGATGGGATTTTACTGTTCAGTACATTTAGGAAATCTGTTCACTGTGTATTCACTTATTGTGTTTAGGACCTACTAATAGTTTGAACTGTAATACATTTAATCTGATTAAAATGTGGTGTGTTTCCCTTTTGTTGGGCCGACAGGTAGACACTGATACGGTCTGGAGCGACCAACACACAGCAGTCGCTTCTCAGATAGCTGCAGGGTGTGTGACAGACCTGGCACTGAAGGTGGCACAGAGAGAGCTGAAGGTGTGTCCTTCTGGTCAAACATCTCATGCTTCATGCTACAAGCTCAAATAAAGACTATCGCAGCTCCCCGGTTATTTTCTTTATGCATTTGTGACAAGATGAAGACAGCTCTTATGAATATGGGTGTGGTGTTTTATAAACAGCACAGCCATGTGTTTTTATTTTTATTTTTTTTCTGTGTTCTCATAGAATGGCTTTGCTGTAGTGAGGCCCCCTGGACACCATGCAACCCATTCTTCCCCCCTGTAAGTACAGAAGCACACACACACACACTCACTCACACATGCATGTATGCCGGGAGCTGAGGGGGCTGTAGTGTTTCAAAGGATTTATTACAAATCAGCTACACTTCAGAAGGGAAGAAAGTGGGGAGAGTGTGCTGAAGTCTCTCAGTGTTAAAGTATGTGTGTGCACTACCTGCCTGATGCTCGAGGCGGTCCACCACCTCTGCTGTTCCTTTAAGCTTCCAAGACCCAAAACAACTCAAAAGAGCTGTGCATGTGCGCACACACTCTACATGATGTGTACAGTGCACGCATGTGTGTGTATTTGTGTGCATTGATTTGTGTCAGTCTTTTGATAGCAGGCATTAGCCTAGTAACCACATTCAGCTGGGGCTGTGTGTGTGAGCTCAGCAGAGCCTGTCACTGCTTATTTATGGGATGATAATGACTGTTCTTGATGAGCAAAGTTTGGACAGCATATAATGTGTATTGTTCACTTACACACACACACACACACACACACACACACACACACACACACACACACACACACACACACACACACACTCAGGCACTTAAAGCTCATGCTGACACTGCCTTTTCCAACATTCCACTGTTGTTTTTTTATGCATCAACACTTTTTTGCATACCTTTGTTGTAGACGGTGAGTTTTAAGGAGACTGCTGCACCTCGCTATGAGTTCATTTCTCCGAAATCATCCCTCACCAATCATCCTGCCAGCCTTCTGACTGCGTTATCATTTGGAACGTGGATAGAATTTTATGATTAGCTTTGATCTTATGCATTCCTTATTTCCCAGCAGTGCAACATTTTAGACTCGGTGTAATATCATAACAATAGCAGCATGTTTTGTTTGTAAAAAGCAAAGCAGAACAACTTGCTTATTTCTTGCGTATCTATTTTAACTGTTAACGTGGCAAAGAGTGCTGTGACTGTCACGGCCCAAAGAGCCACAACATAAAGCCAGATGACTGTCTCCGAGGCTCCTAAGGTCCATATGGTGATGTTGTGATATTAATTCGCTGAAGATGTTCTGATAAACACATGTGGCTGCCACTCTTCCTGTTTGTTCACAGGGGCTTCTGTTACTTCAATTCTGTGGCGATCGCAGCCAAGCAGCTCCAGCACAAACTCAATGTCAGCAAGATCCTGATCGTAGACTGGGTAAAGAGCCACCGCATGACCAGCAGCACAGCTAATGCACAGTGTGTCGTTGGTACCCTGACTTCCAGTAGCACTCATATGGATTATTTAGTTATTTCTGCTGTCCAGGTGTGAGCTCAGCTGTCACATATGCCCGAGTCGATTCTAAATCACACACAGTCACTTGAAAGACTCATACATGTGCACAGCCTGCTGTGTTTCTCTGCTCAGCATGTGTGTTTAGAAATCTGACAGTATATAATCTCTGGTATTTTACTGCATTGGAAGCTGCAAATATCCTGATAAGAAAAGCCTTTCTGATCATTTAATATCACGTTATGTACATTGTTTCTTTTGCCATCTATAGTGCTTTGAACAAATGTTAATTACGTGTCTGCATCCCAACCTGTCTTTACGTTTCTGTCCAGGATGTGCATCACGGTAACGGCACACAGGATGCTTTCTACGATGACCCTAGCGTGCTGTACATCTCTCTGCATCGTTATGACAACGGCAATTTTTTTCCTGGTAGTGGAGATCCAGTCGAGGTATCTACTGTAAACAAAGATGTTTTTGTTTTAAAGTAGCCATCCCTCACAGCAATGCCTGCAGTTATTTACTACTTGTAAAGGGTTAGGGTGTTTTTTGAAAAACAAAAAATGATGGTTTTAAAACTTTCACCTCCATAAAATTAGATTCATGTGCATTGACATGAATATTTTTTATATCTGTGATCCTAGAGTCCAGTATCTACCGTGACCTTGTCGAAGCAAAATAAATGGTGACAATTTATGAAGAAGAAAGAAAACTGCACAAGAACCAAATAAAAAAAACTTTAAGGTCTAAAATCTAAACGTGTCACATTTTAATTTAGCAGCTACAATCTGACGTGTGAAGTCATTACACACGTGTTTCATCTAATATCCTTTCTGTTAAAAGGCCTGCTGTCACTCTTCTATCATCTTACTTTGCACGATAACAAACATGTCCACCCAGTGACATGTTGTTGTCATTTAGAGAAACTGAAAGTAACACATATTTACTTCCATTCTTATTTATCTGAGAACCTTCAGGGCAGCTTTGCAGCAGGATGTTGTATCATGTGCCTGTTGAAATAGAGATGGCCGTGCGTTCTTCCTGTGGTCTTACCAGAATCTAAGTATGATCATTATCCCTATTCAGATGAACTGACCCCATCTCACACTGACATCCTCCTCCCATTTAATCCTCCACATTCCCTCTTCCTGTTCTGCGCTGCTCCCCGACAATAATGTTTTCCCGTAAAATCCCCCGATGAGGGACGATGCATAAAAACGCTTTCCTGGCTTGGATGTGGCTTTGCCTGAAGTAGACTCACAACCTCTGTTGAGCAGTGTGGTAAACCTCTGGAGTCTTGCTGTCCCCATGTAGGTATATATCGCACCAAGGGGTAGGGATGTGATGTTGTAGTCATAATGGAGAGCGCAGAGCACCTCACAGAAACCAGTAAAGACATAATTGTAGAGAAGATGTTCTTACATTTAATTAGAAACCATAGAATATGACATATCACCTTAATGGATCTTTGAGTAAATTTAACCAGAAGATCGGATCTTTTTATTGCAGGGATTGAGCAACACTTCGTATCAACTCCAAGAAAGAGAGTCAGGTTTAAAAAGTTAAAAGATTTATTTCTAAACAAATTAAACAAGACTAACTTTAAACACGGTGTGTATGATGAACTAAGGTGGAGTAAGACTGAGAATGGTGTGTGTGAGTGAATATGTTCAGAACCAGCAAATCTGGAGAAACGATTAGTTCTGATGGGAGTAAAATGGTGTTTCGCTCTAAGCTTTGGTTTGGAGATTATAACACACATTGAGACGCCATCTGTCAGTCTACGTACCCAGCGGAAGTCCCCGTTTAGATCAGGAGGTGTCGAGGTCCAGCTTGGACCTTGTCTGGAACCAAAGCCTGTAGCAAAGCCGCGGTTGCCGACCAGTCCCGTCTTGAGATACTCCCAGGTCACGACAGTTTATTGGCATCAGCGAGACCCTGAAGGGGCCGTGATGGTTCAGCTTTTATTCTGAAGGAACCGATGCAGCAGGTGGAACATGCAACAGATTTAATCCAGCTTGTCGTTAGGTTCTTTCAGCTTCAAGAGGAACGTTACGGATTGGCCACTCCGACAACTTCTCTAGAATGCTTTGAACTCAGGTTAAGATGACGTGGGGCATAGTTTTATAATTTGGATGTTTTGATTTATGGTCAAATCAGAATTTGCCACAAAAGGAGATTTAACAAGCACCAACAAAACCACACCTCACATCAGATCTGGAAGGTTCTGATTGGATCAGAAAAAGGAATGTGTCATGTGATTTTAACATTACGTGTGAACAGTCTAGTGCAGTGGTTCCCAAACTCATTTAGCCGCGCACCCCCTTCTATGTCCCGACCATGTCGACCCCCCCCCCCCCCCAGCCCCCATATCGGGGCATGTCTCTATGTCTCTCTCTCTCTCTCTCTCTCTCTCTCTCTCTCTCTATATATATATATATATATATATATATATATATATATATATATATATATATATATATATATATATCAGATGTCAAGCTAAACAGAGAGGGTTAAAAAATTCCCTATCACTTTCATTTTTTAAATAGTAATTAATAAGCATTCGATACCATTACAATTTACTTTGATTTCATTTTGAATAAATATTTAGAGTGCCCAGGTAGCACATAAACAATGCAATTTAACGGTTTTCTTAAAGTAGGAACGTTTAACCTGTGCGGCCAGAGCGCTCTCCTTCCTTCTGCTCTGCGTAAACCTGAACTGATCACCTACTTGTGCGTAATCAAATGTCTATAGGGGAAAATATGGAAACGATATAGCCATGAGGTTCACTTTTGCCTCAGACCGACTTATTGCTGTTTTATGGTGTGGCTGAATCTGCGATCCGCTGTCATGCGGACCGGAATAACAAATGCTGCAGTAACGCGAGTTGTGGCCAGGTTCGGAGTCACTGACTGTAGCGGACCCGACTCATCCCAGAAGCTAAAATCTTAATTTGACCTTGAATGAAAAATAACCTCTTAAAAGTTTTTATCACGGTGGAGGCAGCGTTCATTTCTGCCTTTAGTCTGACGGCGCGCCGGAGTTAAAGCAGCGTGTGCACTTATTGAATCTGTGTGTGTGTGTGTGTGTGTGTGTGTGTGCGCGCGCACGCGCGGCACAGCCGCTCAAGTCACCGCTTCTCGCGCTATTTAAACCAATGTTGTAAAATTCCTTCTGCCCAGCCCAGATGTGCTCACTTGTGCACCCGTGAGCCGTGGTTCCGCTGGAACACGTCTGATCTCTGACAGACGCACTCTGAACTTCAGATCTTCAGTGCGCTGTCAATAGCCTGAATGGGAATCATTTCTTGTTATTTAGTTACATCCACAATGTTCTGTGTGTGAGGTTTACAATGTCAGAACACCTGCATGAGACAGGTGTTAATTACAATCTGCCAGAATGACTCACCACCTTCAGATTCCTCCAACACTGTTAAAAATGATCAAATACGGAACATATTGGCGTGCGCAGGCCAGAGTGCTGAAGCTCGGCGCATTGTTATTATGAAGCTAGGGCACATGTGGAGGACACGCGCGCGCAAAAATATACTTCTTTTCAATTACATTTATTGTGCCCGCTTACTTTTTCTTAGGCCCACCCACAAATGAGTTTCTACGCTAATGGTGACATATGACAGACTTCTCTGAGCTCCGCAGCCATTACACTTTTCACCTCGCGCACCCCCTAGCGGCACCTCGCGCACCCCCAGGGGTGCGCGCACCACACTTTGGGAATCCCTGGTCTAGTGTAAATATTTAAAGTTATATTATTATATATTATCATAGGATTATAATATCAAGTAATTAATATTCGTATTTCACAGATTGATTGAACCTTAGGCTTCACATGATTATTTGGACTAACAGACATTATTTAATTATTATTTAATAGAGTTCTTGGTCCTCTTCTTCTTTCCTGTGCTGTCCGAGGAAGCAGCAGTTTAGATTAGAGCACAGAGCATGAGTGGCCTTGGCCCATATCTTGTAGATTAGGCTTGTGTCAGAAACTTATGGTTTTGCTTGGGCACAGCAAATAGAGCAGGGCCTTTAGGTCAGAAATGGACAATTCATCACGCTACATCAGGGGTCCTCAATTATAATGGTGCGAGGGCCACTCGCAAAAGAGACCCAGAAGCAAGAGGGCTGGGGGGGGGGAATTGCTGCTGCTGCTGTTTGGATTGCTGGCTGTAATGCATATAACACACAAGCTTGCAATATAAAGAACGACGACACCTGTCCCCCTCCAGCTCGGCTGTGTGACCGCACTAACCTGTCCTGTGGGACCCTCACCATGTGACCCTCATGTCCATGCTGTCTCTGGAGGAGCAGATAGGAAACAAGATCTCCTGTAACTTAAAATGAACCAAAGCTTCCTCCCAGTTTCTCTTTAAGCTGAATTTAACATCAGTTTATCATCATGAAACAAAAGAATAAAGTGGAACAAGAACTTCTATCTTCTATTTCTCTCTCCTTTTAACTTCTCCGTGTCCCTAAATAAAAGAGACAGATGATTACACTGTAGCTGCCGTCACTCACCCCGCTCCCTCCTCTAGACCGAACCTCCCGGCATCACAGCACTCGGTCTGACTGAGCGCTTCCAGGAGAAACAATAATGAAATTATGAAAATAATAATGCGTGTTTGGAGGAGCGTCCTCCGATCCTCTCATGTGTGAGCAGACTCTCTCTCTCTCTCTCAGTCGCTAATCGAGCGAGCGTGGCAACCCGCTCAATTTATATAATTCACGGCCCAAATCCAACAGAACCGATCGGGCTGATTCGGTTCGGGTTCGGTCTCAGGTTATCACTTCAGCGCTCAGCCCTGCAGTACCACATAAAGGCTGACCAAAGTTTCCTACCTGGTAAATGCAGAGAACACCGCTCTGACAGATGTGGATGCTACGCTGGTGCCGCCGTTGAAATAACACAACTACATTCCACTATAATTGATTATGGTACTCTTCTAAGATGCAGAATCTTTTATGCCGGCATCTCATGCATTGATTATTTGACTATTTTCCTCAGCTCTATCTATCCTACATCTCCCGGTCGGGGGTGGGGGTGGGGGTGCGCGCGGGGTTTGGGGGCCCCAAAGAGATGGCTCGTGGGCCACGTCTGGCCCGCGAGCCGCCATTTGCAAACCACTGCGCTACATAATCCAGTTCAGTAACTCTTGAAACATGAAAGAGAGGGAAGCGCAAGACACTCTGAGCTATAACAGGAATTGTATGTTTACGTGTGTGCATGCACGCCTCTGGGTGTTTTCTGTGTGTGTCCATGTGCACGAGCATGTGCGTGTGGGTACATTACCAGTTGGCAGAGGACAGGAGGCCTCATGTGTTTTTCATTTGCCCTGTGAACATCCCGTCCACTGAGAGCAGAATGGAGACAGACGCTCTGCGATGCTCATCAGCATTCTTTCTCTTTCAAGCATCCTCTCACACCCATACACACACACACACACACACACACACAAAGGAAATTACCACACATTGTTGCCAAGAGAGTGTCAATCAACCTCCTCAATCTCCCCTCAAACTGACATATTGACTGATGGTGACGGGTTTGGGGAGCAGTTAAATGGCTGCTAGCGGGACTACAAAGGGAGAGACAGGAATCCTTAAGTTCTTTCCAAGACCCAGGCCTCGGTTCACTCTCTGCCCCGAGTGTGTGAGGTCAAGCTGAAGGTACTCCATCCTTTCTGCCTGGCACTTTGGATCCGTCTCATTTAAAACATTTAAAATGAGTTCTATGAAACAGAACACCTAGAACATTTCTAATAAATCAGACATGTTACACACAGTAATTTGTGTGTATTGTTGGTGTATAAATACACTAAACAAAATGATGTGTTTGAAGCTGATTTCAGTGTGGATCGGGCAGCAGTTGGCCAGCTAAGTTGTAGCCTAGAGCTTGGGACCCATAAACGGGTGTAACACTGTTGTGGCTCACTGATTTATAAAGCCATTCGACAAATTGTATAGAAATCAGAATATAGGGAGGGACAGGAGTGTTGAATTAAGAGCCATCCGTATTTAATTTAGAAATCCTAATCACTCCCTGGTGTTCCCTTAAAACGATGCAGTCACTGTCCTTGTGTTGCTGCAATAGAACGTTTAGCAACAGCAGCACTGGTTTTGTGAACGTTCAACACAAATCTGTCACCATGGTGCCGTTTCTCAACCCTCACTGGGACCCGTTACCTTCCTTGACTCATTCTCTCACACAGTCTGAGTGATGTGTTCTCCCTGGTATGTCTACCCAGGTGGGTGCATATGAAGGCAGAGGCTTCAATGTGAATGTCGGGTGGACTGGAGGCCTGAATCCTCCTATGGGTGATGCAGAATACCTGGCTGCATTCAGGTAACCGAACCAGGTTTCCTCTCTCCGCTGTGAAGTGTTTGCTCTGTATTATCCCACTAATGTGACACACAAACATGTCGAGGTTAGAGTCTAAACACTACTAATAATTTTCTAGATGTAGATCAGAAAATGTATTCATACAAACAAATTGTCAGGTTTATATAATATTAATAATAGATCTTGTGTTTTTATTTGAGTTGCATACTATTTCAATTTTTATTTGCATTAAGGAAGAGTTTTTAAAAAAGTTATTGTGTGTGTGTACACTTCCTTTCTTAGTAGTCATCTATACCTTCAATACATGCAGCTCAGGAGTGTGTGTTAATACCAAAGCAACATCAGGTGTAATCACATGATCACTCGTGCCCATGTTGGACTGAACGTCTGAATTCTCTCAAAGGCAGTCCAGTTTGCGTAAAATGGGTGAAATATTTACACACTGTCAATAAAACACACACACACACACAGCACAAAGACACACAGCTGTGTGATACCAGAACACACCTTTTCAGCACACTTGTCATTTCCACCGGGCTTGATAACCCGAGCGAGTGCGGTTTAGCTCTGCACCGCGCCACGGCGAGTGCAGAATGTGTCTGTCAGCAGCTCTGGCTCGCCAACAGATGAATATGTGAACGCTTCGCAGAGCTTGGAGCAGACACAGTGGGTGGGCCCCTCATCAGACCAAAGATGCTAATGAGCTAACTCATACTGGTGAAATTCACTGACCCAGTAGGCAGGCTTGGAAACACTACGTCCAGTGTTTATTCCTGCCCTGGATTCTAATTAAGAAACAACTGGTCTTTTCCTGAGCAGCTGTCTGGTTTGAGTGTTTATTTTTTTTCATTCGCTTTAGGAAATTGCATGTGTTTTCATGTGTAAAACTTCCTCAGCTAACCACACACATAGTACTGTATGGTTATGTGTTGCCCATGAAACCTACATCATATAAACGCTCGCTAGAGGAGGAGTGTCCTGGTGGCCCAGCGGTTTGCAGCTCATACCGAGCTGCTGCTAAGACCTTTGTCACATGATCAGGAGAGCAACAGCATTCCTCGCTGGTCATTTAGGTCAGAAGAAGCCGATTTTCAGCCAACTTTGCCTTTAAATAGTTTTTAGTGGTGTTAATAATTCTGTAGCACGTTATGTGGGGGAAATGTAGGCATAGTAATATCAGCTTTTTGCTGTTAAGCCTGTGTACACGAGTGCCAGCTCTACAATTCAGTTTGCCTTTATAATTGTGTGTGTGTGTGTGTGTGTGTGTGTGTGTGTGTGTGTGTGTGTGTGTGTGTGTGTGTGTGTGTGTGTGTGTGTGTGTGTGTGTGTGTGTGTGTGTGTGTGTGTGTGTGTGTGTGTGTGTGTGTGTGTGTGTGTGTGTGTGTGTGTGTTTGGCTGGGTTTTAGCAACAGGAGAAATATAGTGGTCCATAGCGATGGTGGGCACAATCAAGCGAGGGCTCAGCCGTGCAGAGATTAGGTGTCATGTTGTAGTACAGGTGGAGGATTACTACAATAATCCCAGTTTACTCTAATCTCAGGTGAAATGGAGCACACACCGGTACGCAGACACACTCGTACATTTCCAACTGGCTACTGGCAAACAATGAACTATGCAGGAAAGGGGAATACAGCGGAGGAGAGGAGAAGAAGTGGGGGGTGCATTGTTAGAGAATCCAAAGGCGGTGTAATTAGGCCCAATGGATCCCAGATGGCTGGCTGTCAGTGACGTGAGAAGAGGGACGAGCTCCTAATAGGAACCAGACGCACACAAATGCCTTTGAACTGCCGCTGAGAGAAAAAGGGTGAGTGAGTGAGGGAGAATCTACGGCGGCATAGTCCGTGTGTTGTTGCTACATAACTGGCAGCAGGAGACAAGAGGAAGTGAGACAGAGTTCCTGAGTGAGCAGGGAAAGTGGTCTCCACTGACCAGAACACGCAGCCTGTGGACACCTCTCTCCAAATTAGTTTGTCACTCACAAAGTGTCTCCAATGTAGTTTTGATTTCTGTAACCTAAAAATAGTGCATCTAAGTACAATTACTTCTGCATGAACTCCTTTTTTCATTTAAACAGTTGCACACATTCACACCTGGGAGGTGCACCACCTCCCAGTGTTGGCTGCCTCCCAACAGTGGATGGGGATCTGAGATCAAACACTTGGAGCGTTGCCTTTCATAATTTCTCTTTTCATCATTTTCAAATGGAGGGCGTGTTCAACCCGGTAAATGCTTGTAGTTAGCAATCCACCATACGTCCTGCTGGATGAATGTTCCTGCTGAAAATCAATCAGCTCAGCCTCCGCTGCGTGGCTTTCATTGTGTCTGATTATTACAGTAATTCATCTCTTTCATCTGATATGATTTCAGTCACTGAATGCATTATTATGTAATATTTGATTCACTCCTGAGAGTTGGTCTTTTCTCACGAGCACCTGTTTAAAGCAGCTTCCTCACCGCACGATCAGGTTTCACCCAGAGCTCGGGGATGAATCAGCACACTCACACTTCTCTCCGTCCTCAGAGCCGTGGTGATGCCCATTGCCCATGAGTTCTCCCCCGACGTGGTGCTGGTGTCGGCCGGCTTCGATGCTGTTGAAGGACATCCACCTTCGCTGGGAGGATACAAGGTCACGGCCAAGTGTAAGGCTCAGGCCTGTCCTGTGATGTCATCCCCATGCTGTTATGTCTCCACTTGTAAATGACGACATGAAGGAGAGCTTAGAGGCAGGAAGCGGCTAAATAACTTATCAGTTGATTAGCCTCGTGTTTTTGTTTTTCTCAGGCTTCGGTTTTTTGACTCGTCAGCTGATGTCACTAGCCGGAGGCCGGGTTGTCCTCGCTCTAGAGGGGGGCCACGATCTCAAAGCCATCTGCGACGCATCTGAAGCCTGTGTCAGCGCCTTGCTGGGCATGGAGGTGAGATGTGTCACAGCTCATACAGTAGACGTATCTGCATCTTTGCTTCACGCTCTAACCTCTGCATCGGGCCCCAGGTGGAGCCGCTGTCCCAGTCCGTGTTGGACCAGAAGCCGTGTGAAAACGCCGTGCGTTCTCTGCAGAGAGTCATCCAGATTCAGGGTGAGAAAAGAGGAAAGTCAACTCAAAATAAAAGAAAGGCCAACCATGGGTTTTGCAGCACTGATTGTGTAATCTCTGTAAAACAAAAATGTTGGATGCACCAGCAAATAAATTCCAAGTGTCACAAATAACTCGTACAACAACTGTCACAACAAATGTGAGATGGAAATCTATTTCCCTCAGCCAGATTGAAGGAAATAAACAAGCTTCTTTCAGTAAGCTTTTATTTTCCACAAGAGGATTGCATCAACCATACTGTCCGTTCTCTGAGGTGTAGACAGAATCTTAATATTAAAAAATAACAAGAATTTATAAAACATTTGTGTCAGATTCAGCTCCTCGGGTATGTTGCTATTTAGTTTATTTAGGTTTTGATTTTTATAACTTTTATCGCTCCTGCTCTCTGGCCACCTCTCCTCTTTTACATCCCTGTCTCCTATCACTCCAGCCATCCCACACACACTTACACACACATGCACGCACACACACACACACACACACACACACACACACACACACACGCACACACACACACACACAGCTGCCCTGGCTCCAATTATCTTCAAACACTTCTCTGGCACACGACCTTCACAACATCCCCTCCTGATTGCACACAAATGTTATCCCAACCAAATTAGATTAATTAAAAATATTTGAATAGCCGCAGGAATGTTAAGCCCATAATTCGGGCCCGGGGTGAAGTGTGTGTAAGTTTCATGCTCAGCCAGAACACACACACTTATAGATGAGCACACTTTGGGTATTTTTTTTTTTTTGTAATTGTGTGACACACAGGGCTGAGAGCCCTGAGAGAAGAAACTCACTCTAGGTTTACATTTCTGAAATTACCGTCACAGATCTCTGGACCTCAGGCTGTTTATGTCACGGCCATTGTTTAGATTCAGATCAAACATCTACAACCAGAGGATCAAACACCAAGTCATGTTTTTATGACTTGGTGTTTGGAAGTACTTCCTTCAGTACTTACTCTACAGGAAAGTTCAGGATGAAAACATCTCTGAAACTAACAGCTGAGGACATTAACGTCTCTCTCCTGCTTCCTTCTCCCCACCCCTCTTCCTTTCAGGTGAGTTCTGGCAGAGCGTGAGGGGTTCAGCCTGCACCGTGGATCTGTCCTACCTCCAAGCACAGAGACACAGACTCAGACGAGACTCGGACAGCGAGGCCATCAGTGCCATCGCTTCTCTGTCCATGGTATCAGAAAGGTGCAGGAAACGCCATTCCTTATCTCACTTTAACATCACTGCTAGAGTTGTCTTAATGTTGAGCAACATCTTTGGGTTTTTTTTTTCTGTTTTTCAGGAGACAGACTTAAATGATGTGGGAGGAAAAGATGCAGTCTAAAGGAAGCCTTTAAACTCTGTGCAAACACACACACACACACACACACAGCCACGTGTAAAACGCAGTTGGATCACCACTGGAAGCAGATGTCACCTTGCAACACCTCCCGCTTCAGCACTGGCTGCTCTCTGGTTCAGACACACTCCGAGGAACAGATGAGCCACATTCACATTCTCATCACATCCCTGCAGGCTCTTCCTGAAGAAGACTCCAGTCCTGCATCCCAGAGACAATTTTCATAAAACGTCCCTGAAGCAGAGTAAAGACGAATCCGTGGTGGCAGCGGGTGCAACATGTAGCAGGAACAAACGAACTCTTTGAGGGGACGTGAACAGAACCACTCTTTAGCTTTAACGGTGGAGCGGAGCCAAAGTGGACAACGGCAGGTTCTCCACACCTCAAAGAAATAAATCCTGCCGTCTTTCAACGTGTGACAAAAATCCAATGAAGGAAAAAAAGATTATTTTTTATCTATCATGTTGCACTGTATTTTCTTCCAGCTCAGTTGACAGTCAAACGTTTTGTTTGATCTTGGTTTTATGGGTTTTTTCTTTGAATGTCAGTATATGCTTAAGAATCCAGAGAGAGGCTACATTCAAGTCTGAGATGCATATGTTTCATATTGTTTTTATTTCCACATATTTTCTCAAATCTCTTTTACTTTTTCTTCCTCTGCCTGTCAGGCGAGCGCACGCAGCCCGTTTAGCTCAGACGGCTGCGCTGATTGGTGGCAGATTAAAGCAGAAACACTCACAAAGTGCATCTTCAACATGTCGACTTACTGTAATTAGTTTGGGTGGCCTTAGTCACAGTAAATGGGTGATACCTCTACTCGCTGGGGCGTCAAAGCAACGGGAGTTGAAACAAACCAGATCACCCACGACGCCTCGGTGCCTCGTGACCACTCACTGATGATTGTATCTGTGAAAATGCAGACCAGCTCTGGAGATTCAGGATGAGCCCTACATCTGACAATCACACACAAGGTGCACTTACACCTTGGGAAGTAGACCCGTGTTCCTTCCTGTGGGAGAGCATTCCTACTGTCTCTCTGTTTAGTGTTAAACAAGAACGATCTGATTGTGTTTTTATTCCGTTTCTGAATGGCTGAGCTGTTTTACTGCCCAGACCAACCGATAGCATTTAGCAGCTAGAGGATGGGGCAACGGAAGCTGAACACACAGTGGATCGGATCCACACGCCGCCACTGGACCCGGTGTGGTTTATGAGAGCAATGTGCCGTCCGTGGCCTGGAATGGCCTGAAGGACTTCAAAGACTTAGCAAATGTTTCTTTTCTCGTTCCAGTCGGAAAGCATCAAAATCTCAGATTTATAAACAAATTCATTTGACGTTACGCATATTTATATTTCCATATTTCTTATGTCTTTGAAGTTGTTTCTGCGTGTCTAACTCAGTGGAGACGGTGCTAACGCAGAATGTTCTCTGCCACCACTCCAAACCTCTCAATACTTATTCAAGTTCTAAAAATGTGAAGTCACGTGGCGCTGTGCAGCAATAACAACCTTTATGTCTTATTTTAATGTCTTAATGAATGCAAAGATCTTTTTATATATATTTGATGTCTAAAATAAAGCCTACAGACCAAATTGTCCATTGATCGTCACACTGACCAGCCTGAGTTCAGGCAGCCTTAACAGTTTAAACTTCAGGCCAAGTCCGGTTAGTTAGAATTTGTTCCTGTACAGTGTACATATGTACTGTTTTTTCTCTGCTTTTTATTACTTTTCTGTTTTCAATCTTTAATAAACATAAATTATCTACATCAGACATGGTTTATTGTTCTTGCAGGAGTGTTTCACGGTCTTCTGTTATGTGAGTGATCATAATGTCCTCAAACGTTTGTATTGTTATGCCAGAAACCAACAAATCTCCTTTTTTTAACTATATAAACACTGAACTTCCATACAGCATTGAGTAAAACTTTATTGTTCACAGGAGACGGCACAAGACAAACGATTAAAAGCAAATGAAAATCAGCACAAAAGCAACACGATCAAAGAGCAATCACTCACGCGTAATCACTGCATCAGCACTTTGGCACGTTATCTAGGAAACTTTCTTGCTGCATTAATTTTTAAACTATGAAGTAAAATCTTGTATTCTTGTTTAATTTTAAAGCTGGTTTGGAGCACAGCTTTCAGCAGCTACTCGCTAACGACAGACAAGCTGATGCGAAAATAAGCAACTGGCTGAACTGTGATCAGTGGCTTCTCGTTGAATCGGAGTAAAAGCATGGGTTTTAGGTGATACAGTGTGGATATGCCAAATTTACAAACAGTTATATTCAAAAATACACAGAAAGCTGTTGAGTCTCTGCAGCGCAGCGAAGAAGACGAAGATCTGCTCCTCCGCCTCTCCGCTTTTAGCGCCAGAGCAATTAGCTTATTAGTATTTTAGCTGTAAACATAAACTGGCTGTGACCGCCCTCTAACCATCACCGAGTCATCATCATTAGTCATCCTAATGTCTGTCAGGCTGTGAGCCATCCGGCTGGATGATGGTTGTCCCGGTGTTCTCGAAGGCACTCGAACCAGCAGCCATTTAGTTTCATTGTCACCGCAGGCCAGCTGTTTGTTTTGTCTTTTCCCAAAACTCTTTTCAATCCTTCAGCATTCAATCCTTCAGCAGTCCATTGTCCTCACTGAGTCTCAGAGACGCGTTACACTTTCAAGAGTCAAGCACGTGTCCAGAAAACGAAAATGAAAGAGAAGAAGCAAAAGGTGCATGAAGAAAAACCTGAAGAGTCTTGAAATTGAAGAATTTCCTGTTAATGTTTTTTTTTTCCCTGTGGAGAGAGAAAAACACAAGGATGGGTTAATGCTAAAGACTGATTCAAGCAAACAAATACTTTGTCTTGTTGAAAGTGGAAAAATCTGTGCAGCTCTTTAACCAACCTTGCTTTTAACAAGCAAACATTTTAATCTGCAGCTCTCCCTAATTACAGTCTTTCCGTGCCTCAAGAAACACACACAGAGACAGAGAAACACAAATAAGACCCATGTTTCCTGATCACATTCCTCCTAAAACGCTGCAAAAGTGAGAAAATGTAAATTGACAACAGCTTTTTCTTTTATCTTTGCTTCTTTCAGTAGTGCCACTAAGTATGAATGAAAATGACATTTATGTTATTTTTAAATCTAAGAACGTGTTCTTTTTTAAAACTGTGTGTAGCCACATGGTTCTGTTTGATAGATCCGTTTGGGCCGAAGTCTTGCGGCTTTTTGTTGCCTACGTGTCAAATCAGCACTCCTTCCTCTGCCACTCTCTGTCCCTGCAGCTGTCTGCATCACATAGAAGAATACACGCTCACACACATGAGGTCATCAAATGTGCAAACACACACACACACACACCTGTGCTCAGCTCTCGGTTGAAATTTCTAAAAATAAAGATGACTATCAAGAGCCACAACTTCTGGACGAGGCTTTACTGAACACAGATGAGCCTCAAAGGCCTTTACATCTGGTCCCAGATCAGCCAGGAGTGAAGGCCAGTGATTTAGTACTCACAGAACGGCGTCCAACAGCTGGTCAGTCCAAGGTGGAAAACACACACACACTCACACTCACACACACATGGGTGCAGCTAAGCCAGCATTCAGCAGAGCAGTTAGAAGCTTTGTGATTATCGTATAAACAATAGAAAGAGGATTGTTTTCTCAACTTCCAGCAGAGCAATCCTTTGTTGAAGTCTCACGCAGAGCAGATATGTTTGCGTGTTTTAGAAATGTGCAATTTTATGAGAAAGCTACTTCTGGGTTACTTTAAAATGAGCTACTGCAGATTAAATAAAAATGAAAATTAGTAGGGTTCACAAAATGTTGATTGGTAATCGCTCTAAAACAAAATAAAGATTTTTGACTCATGCTGAAGATCAAAATGGCAAATTTGATGTTATAAATTTGCAGAAAGTAGCATCTCTCATAGAGGACGACTCGTTAATTATGGCAACGATTCTTTGATTAGTTGAGTTTTCGGTGTGTGTTCTTGCGTAAGAATGATTTCATTACAAAGTCTTCCTAAACATGACCTCATCAGTGTAGTCCTGCTTTTGAAGTTCCCTGACCTTTCCCAACACCACGTCGTTCCTGAAACTGGAGGTTCTGGTTGGGATTCCAGCACATTCTGAGGCGGCCCCCACAGAGCTGATGATAAGAGGCAGAGTAACCAAAGTTGTGATGCGTTCAAGGACACGTGGCTGCATGCAGGAACCTCAGTTTTCCTAAAGCTAGACATCCTCTGTTGTCGAGGCCGCAGGAGGTTCGGTTCTGGAACACCTGCAGAGTGCACATGGGCGGCAGCTGCGTGTGTGTGTGTGTGTGTGTGTGTGTGTGTGTGTGTGTGTGTGTGTGTGTGTGTGTGTGTGTGTGTGTGTGTGTGTGTGTGTGTGTGTGTGTGCGTGTTTTACAGGGCCTCCTGGCTGCCTTTAGTGACTGAATGAAATCTCCAAAGATTTGCAAAACTAAAACCAGGAGAAGAGAGATGAAATCAGGGAAATCACATCAGTGAGTTTATTCCTGTTTATCCAAACGCTCTCTCCGCTGCACAGCTAATTAAAGCTCCAAACACACACACACACACAGCATGTGCATACACTGACGTACACAGGCGCCTGACCCTAACCCTGCTACACACACCTTCCTAATACCTCACAACTGTTTCCAATCTAAAGGTTCCTGCTTGTCTGGGCCCCGGCGAGGCCTGATTGCACGATACGGAATCCTCAAGAAAGAGGGCAAGGCTGCAGGGGGAGAGGGAGAGATGTGCCTCCTTTATTTTTTTTCTTTTCCTCCTCACTCTCCCTTTTCTTCTTTCATGCTGTACCTGTACAGGAATCTGGGGTCTGCTAAAGTGGCTGAAAAAAGAAAACAGACCCAGGAGATTGTGGAGGAAAACATTTGTCTTAAATTCATCAGAGGTCTGTCAAACACTGGAGCCAGGGAGGTTAGATCACGGTGCAGATAATAGTTTGTTTCACTTCATAAAGGCAGACGAGTGAAAAGCCTCTTTGAATTATGGAGTCATGCTACCGCGCTAAGTGTGTTTATATTTATGTAAGATGGCTTCAGTCTCTAACATTCTGTTATGACAAGTTTTTGGGGACAAATCGAGGTAGAACACTTGTATATATATATTTGTTTTTGTTTGTTTTTTTGTTTTCATTACAAAAGAAAGTTTTGACTTGCAGACATTTATAATTATGCACAATTTCATGACTTATAAGATAGTGTTGGTTTTATACATTAAATACTTTTACATTTTTCATAAGATACTTTAAGGAAAATAATTACTTAATTTTTTCTTATCAAAAAACTTAATTCCATGTATAGCAAAAAAAATCCAGATAATTTGGACAATTGCTAAATAATTTTTTATCTAAAATTTATAACTTTTTAACACATTTGAAAATAAAGTTTTAGAAATTAAATCTATAAAGTTTAGTTATTGACAATTATTAGGTTTTATACATTAAGCGCCTCCTGATTTTTATCTTGAGAGGCGCTTTAGAAATGATATTTTCTTCTTCTTCTACAGCGATTTTAATGTGTCTTTATTGGGTCAGTGGAGATTTTTGACGTCTCTCAGAAAATAGTTTTGAATCGTCGTGTTTGGAGGACAAAATTTATGTGTATTTTAATCAAAATTGGTAAAAAGGCTAATAATGTTTTGTTTCCTCAGCCTCACATCACTGGATTCAAACTTAGGATTTTTTAAAAGTCTTTCAATCATATAATTTTTTAATTCATCAAACCAAACTTACATTTCTTTTCTTTCTTTCTTTTATTCTCTGTGTGTGTGTGTGTGTGTGTGTGTGTGTGTGTGTGTGTGTGTGTGTGTGTGTGTGTGTGCGCGCGCGTGTGTGTGTGTGTGTGTGTGTGTGTGTGTGTGTGTGTGTGTGTGTGTGTGTGTGTGTGCGTGCTCACCTGCAAGGTTGCAGAGCTGTGACCTGCTGCTCTTGATAAAATCAAGGAAGAAGTGCAGAAACTGTGGCGGGGGGGGGGGGGGGGGGGGGGGTCCAGCAGCATATATTCAGTTGCAAAAATAGATTTTTTTTAAGAAAGAGTGAGCCATCATGCATCATAGAGATACGATAGGTTGAGAAATGCATGCAAAGATTTGAGATGAAATGGTTAAGTTCAGACCAGGAGGGAATGTTTCTGAGGGTCAGAGGTCAGGAAATGGGTGCAAACACAGACAGAGATTGGCAGGGTGGAGGTGTGGACACGAGAGGATGGATGACAGAGGTTTATTGGGGTCCTAGTGGCTGGCAGACATAGCCCAGGCCCCCTCCATCCTCCAGACGGAGAAGGCATAGCTGAGTCTCTCGTGGGCCAGGTAGTTGCAGCTGGCCAGCTTGGCGTCCATCTCGTCGCTCTGCAGCACCTGATAGAGGAAGTCGATGTAGCGCGAGGCTAGTTTCAGGATCTGGATCTTGCTGAGCTTGTCGGAGGGTAGCGTGGGGATGATCTTGCGTAGAGAGGCAAAGGCATCGTTCAGAGACTGAGTGCGTTGGCGCTCCCTCACGTTGGCGATGACCCGCTGAGAGTGGAGCTCCTCGAAGGGCGGCTCCGACCTGGGAGCCAGGGATGTGGGAGCCAGCGACACGATAGCTGTGGGGCTTTTCTTCAGCCTCTTCGGCCCGGCCGGCAGCAGGCTGCTGGCGCTGCCGGTGCTGCTCTCTTCTGTCTGACTCAGGCTATCCTTCTTAGGATAAGGGGAACGTTTTCGGTTTCCCGCCTGAAGGCTCTTTTTGGATCCTCTCTCCAGCTCCTCTTCGCTGGCTCCCAGCCCTCCTTCGGGGGAGTTGGTGCAGGACACCTCTTCTCTCATTGCAGTGTCCAGCATTGACCTTCACTGCTCAGCGAGGAATCTGAACGGCTTTTCTCTCACCGTCGCCTCGCTCGAACACCTTCAGCGAACCTCAGCTTGACACGCCTGCCTTTTAAAAGCCTTCTCCTCCGACAGAGAAAGTTACGGCTGCTGAAGCTCCATCAGATGTGACGCCTGGCTGTCCCGGCTACCTTGTTAAACTTCAGTCTTTCTCAACCCCTCTAACTTCCTAGCAGACGGAGCAACAACAAACCATCTGACAAGCAGGCCTACCTCTGCCTCTTTTAAAGCTAAACGCCAACCCGAGGCCTGCGGGCGCTTCTCATTGGCTCAGCGGACTTCCAGAGGGTGTGGTTTAGCCTGAAAGCAGGAAGTATACATTAGAAGGGGAGGGTGAGAGGGAACAGGGGTAAGTGGCACGCTCAGCCAATAAGAATAACTGCGTCTAATGTTGCAAAGACGTCTGAGGTTTATGGGTTCCAGATTTGGGCTGGACCTTCGGTCCACATGCATCCTGGTATCCACACAGCCCGTATATGTCTGATCATCACCACATGGATGCTTCAGGCCTCATTAATACTCATTACCCTTGGGTTAAAAGTGATAATTATAGTGAAGTGTTGATGTGAACCATCTAGATCTGTGTTATTTCCTCATAAATGTTTGACCACACTAGATTCAAGAGCCAGGAAAAGCGTGACGGTTACAAAATAGACTAATCTTTGGAATCGTATCATCTCTTTGTTCACTGATGTTTGTTCACCATTCTTTGTTTTGGAGCAGTTTTTTTTGTGGCTTAAACATCCTTATAATCACTCCTGACGTCCTCTGTGTGACTCCTGAATGCTGCGATGGGAAGGGGAACTCAGGCAGGACCCTCAATGACCCCTGACCCCATTGACCCACAGACCCCAGTCTGCAAAGGTGAGAGAGGGAGCACCTAATTGTGCCATCCATGGCCTGAAGGCAGTGCCGGCACATGTCCCCACCTCGGAACGGTCGACCCATCTGGGTCTGCAGCCACTTAAGACACATTTTCCTCACACCGGCGGTCGTGACACAGCAGGTATGAGAACATGACATCAGGTTTTGCTTGCTCAATCCGTGCAGCCTACAATTTTAACCAATTACGTCAATGGGCCCCTGTTTTCAGTTTCCTAACTGTAACTATTTCTACCTAAATGTGCCATGGCCGAGTGACTCATCTGCCGATAACTGGAGAACATCTTGTGCGGAGTTTTCTGCAGAAGAGATGATGAAGCGTTTGTGTTTGCGTGCATGAATCTTTACAGGAATGAATCAGGTATTGTGAATTTGTTTCATGTCATAAGACGGCACCTGGCGGCTTCCAGCCAAGAATTTGGGTGTGATTTCCGCAGCGGAGAGATTTCTGATGAGCCCCGTGATTGCTCGGGTTTACATTTCAGTCATACAGCGACTCGAAGTAACTAAATCCCTGTTGGGTTCAATCAACTCATAGGAGGAGGAAAAAACTGGCCATCATCAAAGAAAGACAGTGGAAAGAGGTTTCATTTACATAAGAGGCCAAGTCAACTCCAGGATTAATTGGTATTAGAGCTTAGCTTCGCTGGGAGCTCTGACGGAGACGGTGGAAGGACAGGAAAGTCATTGTTGCTGATGTTAATCTCGGGAGCTGCTTCTTACCGTTAGAGAAGTGGCTCTGTGCCACGGCGATGGAAAAAATGAGCTAATAAGAAGGCCAACAGGAATAGTAGAATAGAGGGGCAAAAGAATAAGAACGGAGGAGGAGAAGAAAGGAGAAGTGGGGGGGGGGGCTGTCCAAACAGAACCAGATGGAGGAGTGTGGAGGCTCGTTTGATCTCGATCCTCATAGGCTGATTGATGTTACACATTTCATTTCCTTGTCAGAGTCTTGACATAATGTTTCACTAAACGCTTAGGCCCTGCTCTCATCTCTGTTCTGCTTCCACAGGGGTCATGATTAACCCTTTCTGGGGCAAATATAGATCATACAGGTTTCAATATACAGTACATGGGCTCACACACACGCACACACACACACACACACACACAGGAAAGCTTGGGTATCAGAAAAGGCAGATGTGTTGTCTTTCTGTGTCTCTGCTCCAGATGGTTTTGACCCTGACAGAATTCCTACTCTGAAGAGCGGGGGGTGGGGGGGTGGGGGGGGGGTCTGAAAATTTGTAATGCAGTCAACTAAATTTTCATCATAGAAGAAAAGGCCGGAGCTCAGCGATGACGTGCTCCGCTGGTAGGGGCGCAGCGGCGTGACCGATCCTTAGTGGTGTGTTTTAAAATCCACACCGGTCACCAGAGTCCTCCTCACCTTCACCTTGAGAGTTTGTGCACCCTCCTGAGCTGCTGTTGGAGATGTTTGCATATAGCACACTGCACCCACACACACCCCCACCCCTCCAGCGCTCCATCCCAGGAGGAGCTCACGGTGACACAAAGGCAGACATCTGGGAACCATTTCCCCTCATGGAGAAACCCTTCCTGTGGGGTATCCACTTAGAACGGTTTACGGGAGGAGGGGGGCGTAGGTGTGTGGTGGGTGGGGGAGGGTGGAGGTGATGGAAGTGGATGAGAGGGAGACGTCGATAAGAAGGTGTGGATGATAACTGAGTTTGGGGGACACGTCTCCTGTACCAAGAGAGACGAGCACTTGGACAACCAGGGAGGTGTAGTCAGCAGCTGAGACAAACTGGTGGACAGAGAGAACATTAAGGTAAAACCGAGCTGGCATCACTTTGAACAATAGGGGTCCTGTATTAATCTTGTTGATTCACAAAGTAAAAAAACACTCGACTGAAATGAATCACACAGTTCTCGTTGCAGGGATCGTGGAGTGGAGATGGGTGCCCACAGGGTTGGGGTATGGTCTGGAGGCCCTGGCCTGTGCTGTGGCATGGTGGGTGGGTGGCTGCTGGCTTGGGGTCTCAGACATCTTGGGTTGCCTGCTGCCATGTGGGGTGCTCCCTGAATGGGGAGGGGAGGGAGGAGGGCCCTCCCCTGCTTGGCTCCCCAAATTACACGGCAAGGGTGTCCTACCCAACTACCATCCTCACCATCCCTTTGGGTTAGGAGCGAGGTTGGGTGGTTGGCACTCATGATCTGATCTACCCCCCTCCCACCACCACCCCCATGTGTACCTCCGCATGCATGCAAATGTGTGTGTGTGTGTGCGTGCGTGCGTGTGTGTGCGTGCGTGCGTGCGTGCGTGCGTGCGTGCGTGCGTGCGTGCGTGCGTGCGTGCGTGCGTGTGTGTGTGTGTGTGTGTGTGTGTGTGTGTGTGTGTGTGTGTGTGTGTGTGTGTGTGTGAGAGTGAGACATGGTTCGTCTCAAGTAATGAGAGTTTGATAAAAGACACAATCTGATGTCCTGAAGGGTTTTGCTTTAAAAGCACAAATCAACCACGATGGCTCTGTGTTTGCACACTTAATGAGATCCAGCACTTAGTGATCAAAGATTAAAGCATTAAAACTGAAAACCAAATGAAACTGAGTCGTGGAACCAAAGCTTTACATCTGATACAATGTTTGCAGCTCGTACCTGTTTGTCCTCCATCAGGATTTCTGTTTTCTTTAAGTTTCTGGGTTAAAAATAAACTCCAAACCAAAGCAGCTTCCTGTCATGGTTCAACTTTCTTCATCTGTTCTGAGTATCTTTGATCTGCTTAAACCAGAATAGAAGATTTGAACTTTTCCAATTAAAAAAAAAAACCTTCTCTAAAATTGCTCCAGAGCTGAAACCGAGGTGTCGTGTTTTGTCCTCGCAGGCAAACACACTCCTCTCCTGCTGCGTGCAAGCCTTTGTTATTCTCACTCAGCTGTTACGTATCTTCGTGTGTAAGACCATCATTTATCATAATATTTAGCACTCCTGCTTCCTTTAAATATCCCTGCTTTCATGTGTAATTTAGCTAATATCCTGCTCTGGTGCTGATTACAGCGATCATGAGTCGGGGTCCATCCAAGGCACATTACACACAGCGGGTCGGGATGGAAACGGGTCCTTACGGTCTCCTTTTGGGACATCCTGGGACGTGACACGCTGTGGTTACAGAGCAGGCTGGAACAGAGAGAGGATGTTCAGTTAATTAAAAAATGTGACCAAAAATACTCGTTTTATGTCTTTTTTTCCACAGAAGTTTATGCATGGGTACTGTTATCACATCACGTCCATGTGTTGGAGCGGCAGCTCTGCATGTGATAATTTGACACAGGGCCAGCACATACCACATGTATGCTGCACTCCACAGTGGATGTTTGCATTTGCTTTGAAAAGAAAATACTGTAATCTGTGAAAAATATGATTCAGCTAAAATGTGCTGACACTGAACAGCTGGGCAGAAAGATGCTGGTTTGATCACTTTCTATACAACAAATCATCAAACAGAAGTCATTTCCACTGCTGAGTCAGGAGCTCAAACAAAACGTGTTTGGTTCTCTGTTTTTGGTGTAAATGTTAAACTTCTTGGTGAGTCAGCAGATCCAGATGACCGGATTGGAAAATCTTATTTCAGAACAAGGTTTTTGTCACAAAGAGGAGCCGTTTTGATGCTGGCAGCCACGAATCCCTCAGGAAATACTGTCGTGCTGCCTTTATTCATGTAATCATTCACCCCACAGCCCGTCGCTGTTTCCCCTCTTTCTTAAATTTGATCGTATGGATATTCAATTCCAGGCCTGGAGGGCAGGTATCCAGCACGTTTTAGTTGTTTCCCTGCTCCAACACACTTGATTCAGTGGTTGAATCACCTGTGCTGCAGCTCATCAGGCTCTGCAGAAGCTGGAAGGGAATGCCCTTGCTTTAGGTTATTTATCTCAGCATTTTAGATGATGCTGTTTTCATGTTGATGAAATATTGTGTTCTGGTCTCCTTAGTTTAGCCTTGTGTTAACTTTTGCCCTTAGTCTTTCTGCTCTTATCTTGTACACAACAGGGACGAAGGCATTTGCACGCTGGATCATTCATGGGATGTGATGATCGGGGGGGAAGGCATGGGCATCATCCCCTTCTGCCTGCAGATGAACAGCGGCGAAGCTCTGATGATGGCGACTGTTGTGATGCTGAAACTGTCAGCAAACACGGTAAAAAACTAAAACTTTACTTCTCTGTGTACAAGATAAGAACAGAGAAGTAAGAGAAACACAAAAAACTTATCAAGGAGTTTTGCCCTTAGTTTATCCTGCATCATCTTATTTTATCTTCAGTTATTAGCTCTCCTGTTCTGTGTTTTGCCTCCCAGTCCCTACTCCACAGTAAATTACT